TTAGGACAAGGAAAAATAGTGGTGTACAAGAAATCAGTCTTTGGTAACTGATTTCCTCTGCCGCCCTCAAGTTTTGCTTCCCTTTCTTTTTTCCAACAAGACTTTTCCAGACTTTGTACCTCACTGTATCCTGCTTACCCTCACTCTCCACTCCAGCCACACAGGCTGCCTTTTCAGTTCCTCAACTGTGCCATTCTCAGAGACAGAATCAAGATGTTGGAATAGACAGTCTCCAGAGTCACTCTCTCCCACAGTCAACCAATTTACAACTATTAAAAAAGCAATGACTGCCAAGCTGGGGCTGCTAGAGCTCAGGGGAAGAGGAGGAGAGATTGACAGAGTTCATGAAGGCAGGAGAAGCTGTGATGAAAGAAATAAGGGACCACTCCAATCCTTTCGAGCCCCAGCCATTTCAAGGCTGGCCCTGGTGAGCACATGGAGCAAGAGCTGGCAAAAGCCACTGCTGTGCCCTTCGTATGAAGTTGCTTGGATGATGCAGGGGAGAAGAGGGCCTTGGTGGACCTCAGGCCTCTAAGACCACTGACAGGGTTCACATGGACCCACACAGGAGCGAGGAGCCATGGACAACTGAAAAAAGGAGCCACTTAGAGGCTGGTGAGTCATCGCAAAGGACCTGCACATGCCTGTCCCATGGGAAGTGTTTGGAGTGTGGGCGGTGGGAAGGACAGGCCCACTGGGGGAACACTGGGACCCGGCATGGACAGCTAATCTGCCCTCCAATCAGCGCAGGACCACTCAGTGTAGACAGGTCAGGAATATAGAACTGCAGGGGGTGCAGTTTGCTGAAAAGACTCAAGCCCAGACCAGAGTTTCTACACAACCCAGGTGCACCAGATCTCATGAGATCTGGAAGTACATACAAGGTCAACAATTAAAACCTGATCTGCACAAAAAGCCTTCCCCAGGGAGTCAAAAGCAATGAAGCAATTTAACTCAACTACAGGGTTCAAGTGCTGGTCCCTAAAGTAAGTTCCCCCATTTTAGAAGTAAGCAAAGGACAACAAATTAGTTCCAGTGCAGAGTTCAAGTGGTGGGGGTAGCTAATAATCCAACACAGAAGTGAAAGAAAACACAAAACACTCACAAATCAGAGACAAAGTTCTGATATTAACCAGCAAAGTACTAACACCACCAAAGAACACCTATAAAACCTAAATGAGCAGGGAGCCCCCACGGCTCCTGAGCTGGGATGTGGCAGCCAAGGGTCTCAGCCCCACACCCCTGATGTCCACATCCAGCCTGGTGACAACCAAGCAACCCTGAGCAACTGCTGGAAACCCTCCAGGCTCCCAAGCCAGAGTTGGGGGAGCCTGTGGGCCTCAGCACCCCCCTACTTCCACCTCTATTTCCCTATCTCCGTCCCACCCACCCCTCCCATCACTCCACAACATCTTTTAATGTAAAAAAATAAGAATGATTCTACTAAGTAAATGAATTTTTTTTTTTTTAAAGTGCCATTCTCTGTCCAGCCACTCAGCTTGGCCTCAACCCTCTGCCAGGAAGATTCTTCCCCCATTATCTTGTAGAAGTTTGAGAATAAGTAGATTCTATTTTTAGGGAAAAAAAATTATCTGGGGTCCCTGAATTAAAAGCTGTGACCTAAAGAAAAAGTTGAATGCATTTTGATGGTTAGAATAGAGGATACTCTTACCTGGGATAGGTTGGCTAAAGGTCAGTGAAGAACAATAGGAGAAAAGAGTCACAAAGTCTAAGTTCTAGTCCCTGTTCGGCTACTCACTATCCACGTGATTTGTTTTTATTTTTATTTTTTTGTTAATTTTCTGGATGTGAACATTCCAAAGGATTTTATTATCTCCAAGGGACTGATTCCTTAACTGGGAATCAAACTTAAGCCACCTGGGTGAAAATATGGAATTTTAAAGATCAGACCACAGGCTAAAGCACCATGTGACTTGTTTTTAATTTACATATAGTAACATAAACCTTTTTTTGGTGTACAGTTCTGCAAGTTTTACACATGTAACTACTACCACAATCGGTATACAGAACAGTTCCATCACCCCAAGAAATTCTCTTCTGCTGCCCCTTTGTAGACAAACACCTTCCCGGCCCAGCCCCTGGCAACAACTGATCCATTCTTTGTCCTATAGTTTTACCTTTTCCTAATATCTATCCTTAATCTCTCTGAGTCTTTTTCTTCACCCATGAAGTTTTATAGGTGTGTGTATATATTACACATATGCCATCTTCTTTACTTTACAATATTAAACTATTTATGATAATTGTAGGCTGTGGCTAAAATACCTGGTATATGATAAGCATCAAGCATCCCTTCTACAGTTCCTATTTAGAAAAAGTTTTCTCTAACTTTGTGACTAATGTCTAATTTTTGCAATTCTGCATCTTGAACTTTCAGTTTTTTCCAGAAGGGTGGCTCCAGCTCAGATTTCTGCATGCTACCATGGTGGACCGGTAACTTTGTTCACTCCTACAAAGCTATGAGCTCCTAAATGTTCCTTAACCTCTTCTTATGGTTGTCTTTCTTCAGTTTACCATACTACAACAACCTGAGCAGCCTTTCAGAAATGATTGCTAGAGCCTTCCAAGATTATTCTAGCACCTTGCCATTTATGAGCATAGCTTGTCGCTGAATGTCTAAATTTAATACTGACGACACTTAAATCAACATGCCAGCTATAGTAGAAGCAAGCCTCATTTCCACCTAGATAGATGATATAATATTAAAGATATCAATTTTTAATTAATAATGCTCACTGCCTTGGCTCATAGGGTTGCCAATACTTGTAAATCACAAGATCGCTGTTATGTAATATTATATAGATTTTAATACATGCAGCTGAAAAAAATCATTCATAATTTTTTTGTTTTGTAACAGATGAGATGTAACTATAGTTATATGAAAAAACGAACCCAAAAAGTGTTCATTAATTAATTGATGTCTCCCTAAGGTAAGGCTGCCAGTGGTGTGCTGCAGTTGACTAAACTTGATCCTATCCAATTCACACATTTTAATTAATAAGTGGCTGAAGAAACAGAAGCATGATTACCAAATTTATAAATGTCAAAGTTAGTAGGGATAGCCAAAAAAAACTTGTGTTAAGATTATACTTAGAAAAGATTTCAGGACTGGCCACTTAGCTCACTCAGTAAAGCATGATGCTGATAACACCAAGGCCAAGGGTATCGAATCCCCTACCGATCAGCCACCAAAAAAAAAGAAAAAGATTTCAATAAAAATCAATAAAATGGAACAATGTAGACAGCCAATAAGCTGAAATGTAATAGGAAGAAAAAAAATCAACTGTACAAATATAGAATGAGAGAGATTCAGTATGACAGCAGCTTATATAGTAAGATCTGGGTGTGTTAGTATTACAAATTCAATGTTAAGTCATTAATGTGGCATTCAAGCTCACACTATTACATTGCCCTTTTCAGGTTTACTAAAGAATTCCATTACCAATTCAAAGGGTCAGTTCTCAACCTCATTTTCATTTAACAAGAGTGATCATCTATCCGTTTTGTACCATTTTTCTTTTCCTCACTTGATACTGTCTTAGTTCTCCTTCTACCTCACTGGCTGTTCTTTCAAGACTCCTTTAGGACTGATGACTCCCAAATTTATAGCTTCAGTCTACACATTTGTATTGAAGTCCAAATTCTTATATGTATCTGTCTCATCATCATAGAAACCCCTGCTTCCACTTCCTTATCCAAGTCTGCTTTTCCTGTAGTCTTCCCCATCTCAGTAAACAGCAACGTCATCCTTCCAATTGCTCAGGCCAAAACCTTCACCTCATTCTTAATTCCTCTCTTTTTTTCATACCCTGTACCCATTTCATCAGTAAATCCTATTGACTCTGCCTACGAAATATGTCCAGAATCTGACCACTTCATATCACTACACTGCTGCATCATCTCCACTCAGAACTGTCACAATCGTCTCCTAAATGATCTCCGCACTTCCAACACTGAAACCTCGTCCCCCCAGTCTATTCTCAACACTGCAGCCTAAGAGCTCCTTTCAAAACATACATTCATTCAACATTCATCCTAAGACAGTTCACTGAGATACATCTATGTGCTAGGCAATGTTAATAGATGCTTAGAATACATCCAAGAACAGAAGAGAGAAAAATTGCTGCCCTCATGAAGCTTTTGCATGCTGGAAGGGGATAGACAATAAACAAGAAATGTAATAAAAATAAATTATATAGTGGGTCCATAAGCATTATGGGCCAAATATACAGCAGGGTATGGGGAAGCAGTACCAGGAAAAAAGGGATGTGTTGTAGATTCAAATAGAGGGAGAAGACTAGGTTTCACTGGCAAAGTAACTTTTGAGCAAAGATTTGAATGAGGTAAGGACTTAGTCATGCAGATATCTGGGGGAAGAGCCTTCCAGGCAGAAATGTTTAAGTTTAAATCTCTCATAAAATATTATTTTTGGTTCCTTAGACTTTTAACTGACTACATGATGGACTGAAAAATACAAGATTTTAAACTTGTTTTTAATCTATATAATACTTGTATTTTAATTCTTAAATACTCATACTTTCCTAATAAGCCACAAGTGCTTTTTTTAGAAATGATAAATTAGGTGAAGTATTAGAAACTACTCATGCAAGTGAGCTTTAAGTCTTTTTCTAAAATTTAATTAGGAGTTTCATTATTCATTTCATTGAGTTTCTTCTATAGCCCATACAATGCAGTTAGAAAGGCCTGCATTTTTTGATACATACATATGACATAACATAATATTCAGAAAAAAACAGCAAGTGCATCAAACATGGGAGATCAACTGGATTTAGCTTGCTAAGAATATAGTTTTCAGATACAAATATCAACTGATTTTTCAGATTAAGCCAGTTATAAAACTAATTATAAGCAAAGTCATCAGATTTACTAACACAACAAAATTAGTACAAAATTATGGATTTTAAAAGCTTGTTAGTTTCCACCTAATTGGATGAGACTAGCACAATGTTTGTTTTTACCTTCCGGTGGCCTATTGGATGTTGCCACAACGACGACCCCATTTTTGAACAGATTTTCAAAAAGCTGTTTCAGAATCATAGCGTCAGCAATGTCAGTGACCTATGGACAACAACACATTTGTTTTATTTTAATTTCACTTCTGCTCTAACAAATTTGCTAATGGCTCATCTTTTTTTTTTTAAATGAAAGTGAATTCCAAGAGAAAAATTCTAATTATCATCATGAAGAAAAGAGTAGATAATTAAAAGCATGAAAGACTGTATAGCAGTCTTTTAAAACTGACTCTTCTTTTTTACAAGCCTATCATTTCTACGCAAATTATCAAATGGTTCTATGTTAACTTCTTTTATAGAACTACAGGTGGAAAGCATAGATAATTGTCCTAAACATTTAGGAAGTCTAATTAATTAGAACTAACATGACCAACTCCCTCCTCCTACTCCCACCCTACACACACCCCCAAAAATGAAAGAGTAAATAAATAAAATACACAGGCTGTTTGAGATTTCTAATACCTTTCTGGCAAAGGTCCCTGGAAAGGTGGCTTTAAATGGTCATGGGACTTTAGAAATAAGGACAAGTAGCCAGTGAGACATAATCAGCTGCTGTTGAAAATAGAATGATATGACATAGATACTATTGTGCAATTGTTGCACAAAACAATTCAACAGATGGCCCATCACAAAAATAAGCAATTTCATTGTTCTTTTTAAGTGCCTTCTATTACTGTCCATGAATAATCAAAAGGCACTGCAGTCACTTCCAGCACAGCCAGCCTCTGCTAACCTTCGCAAACACAAATATTCCTTCTACAAAAAAATAATAAGAATAACCTCACAAGAATAGTTAATACAGTGATTTAAAAAAATAACTGACAAAACTAGAAATGCATGCGGGGGGAGAGGGAGGAGGGAGGGAGGTTTCGGTGATGGGCCATAATAATCAACCACATTGTATATTGACAAAATAAAATAAATAAGTAAATAAAATTAGAAATGCATGATGCAGATAAAACTATTCCTAAATTTTTAAAATTCACAATTAAAAATTGATTAATTATAACTTTTAAAAGTCTTTAAAATTCAGAACAAAATACAGCAATTAAGGAAGAAAGTTGACTTCAAAAATAAATGTATAAAGAAGGCTGATATTAATCATTACAACTTCTCCTAAGTATAGAATAACGAGTTTTTGATACTCGCAGTGCAATAATCTTAATAATCAAATAATCTTAATAAAACTTGCTTGATATATACTCACAAAATTTTTCACATTGTTATTTTTAAAACATTTTAGAGGACATAGAAACTACTGAAATTCTTTCAATTAGATGAAAATACTAAAAGTTACCAACTAAACTGTTATAGTACAACTAACAACAAACTGGATTGCACAGGTATAAATCACTTTTCTCTTTACAGCTAATGTCTACTCAAAAGTTTATTTCTTTTGAGAAAACCTGATAAAAACAAAACAAGACCATAAGATGGGGACGTGCGCTGTTTTGTGGTTTTTTTGGTTTGGGGGTTTTTTGGGAGGTTGGATTGCACAGGTATAAATCACTTTTCTCTTTACAGCTAATGTCTACTCAAAAGTTTATTTGTTTTGAGAAAACCTGATAAAAACAAAACAAGACCATAAGATGGGGACGTGCACTGTTTTGTGGTTTTTTTGGTTTGGGGGTTTTTTGGGAGGTTTTTTTTTTTTTTTTTGCTATCTCTGGCTATAGCTTGAAAACATATTAACTAAAAAACTACTGAAGACTCCTTAAATTAAAAAAATCTCAGGAACTTCCAAAAAAGTGGCAATTAAAATGAAAAGGAAAGTAGTGCTGATATTATTTAATTTGGAGCTTAGGATCACTGTCAAATTTTGCTTCCACAAAAACACTCACAGAGAAGGTCCTTTTCAAATGCTTAAACACCAGTGGCATTTCTGATGAGAAGAAAGAACAAGCTTGCAAATTTTAGTAGCAACTGCACTTTTAAACTGAATTCCCAATACACTGACTTTTTAAAAGAATGATATCAATTAAAGGTTACCCAATTTTAGAGAATAAAAATGGTCACTTGATGACATCACTAATGTTTTTCAAAAAAATTAAAAATACTTTTGTGCCCCAAGGTTCAGAAATGTTAAGGGACAGTTAGCTTATAACACAGTGCAAAGGTTTAAAATGAAAGTTGAAGAAAGCAAGCAGTAAAGGCTTGTGGTTGAGTTATAATTTGTTGTTTTTATATTGCAGAATGTTTTTGTGCTATCAGAGTAAATTAACTTGGAGAAGCTATGACTAATTAATAAAGCAGGAGTCACTTCGTGTAGCCGGGTGCCAATGTATGCTCTTTTGATCTTGTCCCTGCACTTGTTCAGCCTTGCTAGGGAACAGTAATTTTACAATATAAGTGAACAGAAAACAATTGGCTACACATTCTTGGAGAGCCGGCTTTTTCAGCACCCAGCATTTCATTACCACCAGGAACAAAAGAGAAGGCTACAGATTACCAATAAGGGTAGTCTGATAATACAGTGAGTGGAGACATTTCATTAGCATTAAAGAGAAAAGATTTTTTTATGACCTAGAGTTGCTTTCCATTATGACTCACTTAAGTAAAAAAGGAAAAAAATCTAATGGTTAATTTACATGTGTAAGTACTTGAGTCTCAGTCATCCACTGATTGGTACAGTGCCATGTAATGAGTGACAAACATAAGCATGCATTATCAGTAATTAGTATTAGCACAAAAATAAGCACCTATTTTTTATTAGCAGTTTTTAATAGCTTTCCTGCTTCATAAAAATGGTTAAAACTATTTTTTTTAATTATATTGATATCTTATAGAGGAGAATTTTGCATGATATTCTACTCATCAGAATTTTTTTTAGACCATATTAGTAAAACCTAAAAAGAGACATGAATAACATTTTTCTTTTTAAACATCAGTTTCTCTCAGTATTCTGATGTCTTCAGAATCATAAATGGTTTAACAAGTAACATAAATATTCAAAAAGGACATAATGAAGACCCTAAAGAAAACTTTGAAAATAAGCTATCCTTTTATTTCAACAACTAAAACATACAAAAAAGCTACCTATCTAGGACACATTTCTCAACCAAAATAAGAATATGTATCTGCTACTACAAGTAAAACTAAAATGCTACACTTAGTAAATATGATCAAGCTAAAGAAGAATACATTCTGCAAGTGTAATGTGAATGCTACCAAAATATAATCTTAAAAATTCCTTAAATTCAAGAACACAGAAAAGAAGGAATATATCCTTGTTTTCAAGCAGCAATAACTCCCATTCATCTCCCTAGTAAAATAAACATATTAATTAACAGCACCTAAAAGCCAGTAATAACTAGCTAAAAATCAAGACTAATGTGATTCAATTTTAAAAGTGAAGTGGTGATTGTAGACATGCTGTTAAGAATAAAGTGCCTAAAAAATTCTTTTCTAATAAATTAGCAAGTATTGTATTAGGATTAATAAGCTCAAGGATAATTTTTAGGTTGTATCATTAAAACATCTACAAAAACCCCACCCAGCTCTAGAGGTATATATTTAAACTCAAAATATAAAACTATGTATACCAAGGAAAATGTAGAGATAGCTGTTCCTAGTGAGTAAGAACACTGATGCTGAATTTAAACTGTTAATTACCAGCTGTGTGACCTTGGTCAAGTTATTTAACCTCTCTATTTCTTTATCAACATAATGAAGGCAGTAAAAATACCTACCTTGCAAAATGGTTATGAAACATATAGTAAACTCTCAAGAAATGTTAACTGACTATTACCTATGTATGGTATTATACTAGTATAATTCCATATTTTTAATGTACAACTGTGTAGAATTTTAGCTGTAGATGGAGTAATATATAGCATTGTATGGGTGGTTAAGGATATAGGCACATAAGAAGCAATCAATAAACAATAGCTAATACTACAGAATATACATAATAAATGGAATGTAAACATTCCAATAAATAAATGAGCAGCAACACCTCACACAGTTCATAAAAGGTAGATTTAAATGTAAGTAAACAAACATGGAAAAAAAATCAACCATATTTACCTAAAGGAATACAAATTAAAACAATGAGATACCATTTTCCATCTAATAAATTAGATTAAAATGTTCAGAAAATTCAGAATGTTGACAGAAATAAATGTGAGCTGCAGTTTGTAACATACCTTGGGTTTTGTAAATGCTGATTTTGCTTGAGAAATGCTATTATTTATAAGAGGAGTTGGATTTAATAGGGGAACAACTTCAATAGTTATCATTTGGTACTAGGATTCACTCATTGATTATTATGTTTATTCATTCTCAGGCACTGTTCAATTAAAAGATTGATGTATCTCAATGATTCATGCCTTCAAGTTTACATCCCATGGAGGAATACAGATAACAAACAGTAAACATAATGAATAAGTAAATCATATAACATGTTATAAGGTGATATATGCTATGGAAAAAAAGGAAGGTATGGGGCATTGGAAGTGTGGCGTTAATAGCAAATTGCAATTTTGAGTAGGGTATTATGATAGGCCTTGCTAATAAAGAGATAACTGAGCAAAAATCTGAAGAAGTGAGAGAATTACTCTTACAGATACGTGGGGGTGTAATGGAAACAACGCAGCAAAGGTTGGTGCCTAAGCTTTAGAAGTAGAACGCCACACCCAAACAGCTCAAGCTGGTGGCCAGGGATAAGAACTTAGAGGTATCTCTCCAGCCCGGGAGGCTGGGCTTCCAGCTTTTCCTGCTGCTGAAGCATTCGACCGTGATTTTCAAGTGGCCCCCGCCCTATTCCCTTATACTTGGTTATGTACTGCTAGTTCATTCCTCCCCTCCCGACTCATTGCCCAGGCTCTGTAAGTAAAAATCTTTGAACTTGCGGTGGTGGTGTCTGGAGTCTGCGCCTTCCATCTGAAGGACCAGGGGCTGCCGGGGAGAACACAAGGTCGGGCTCCCAGCGCCACAGCGATGGTCAGGCAGGCATAAACTGGACACGGGTCAGACAGGAGTCACGAGCGCGTCTGCCAGTATAAACAAATTTCCCTGAGGAGCCCCCTGCTGGTGGGTCGGACAACT